TGCCGCAGCTCTTCGAGAGGGCCTCGGCCAAGTGGTGGAACCCCAAGTTCGACTCCAACAACCTGGAGGAGGCTTGTATGGAGAGGTGCTTCCCGCAGACCCAGCGCCGGTTTCGCTACGCCCTCTTCTACATCGGGGTGGCCTGCCTTCTCTGGGGCATCTACTTCGGCATACACATGAGAGAGAAACAGATTGTTTTCATGGTGCCGGCTCTGTGCTTCCTCTTGGTGTGTGTAGCGTTTTTTGTGTTCACTTTCACCAAGACTTACGCCCGCCATTACGTATGGACTTCGCTGATACTCACCCTCCTGGTTTTTGCTTTGACTCTTGCTCCGCAGTTCCAGGCTCTGAAGCCTGTCTCAGGAAGTGGTGACATGTCCAATCAGACTCCCCCGGCAGATCCCACAGACACTTGTCTCTCTCAAGTAGGCAGTTTTTCTATGTGTATCGAAGTGCTCTTGTTGCTTTACACGGTGATGCACTTACCCTTGTATTTAAGCTTGTTTCTGGGACTGTCGTACTCGGTCCTCTTTGAGACCTTCGGGTATCACTTCCGCGATGAGAACTGTTTTACGCCTCCCGGAGCCGGTGCCGTTTACTGGGAGCTGTTGAGTAAAGCCTTCCTGCACATCTGCATCCACGCCATCGGTATTCATCTATTTATCATGTCCGAAGTCAGATCGAGAAGCACGTTCCTGAAAGTGGGGCAATCCATCATGCATGGAAAAGACTTGGAAGTGGAAAAAGCCCTGAAAGAGAGGATGATTCATTCTGTTATGCCAAGAATAATAGCCGATGACTTAATGAAGCAGGGGGACGATGAAAGTGAAAACTCCGTCAAACGTCATTCCACCTCAAGCCCCAAAAACAGGAAAAAGAAGCCCTCCATACAGAAAACCCCCATAATATTCCGTCCTTTTAAAATGCAGCAGATAGAGCAAGTGAGCATTTTGTTCGCAGATATTGTTGGCTTCACGAAAATGAGCGCCAATAAATCTGCCCACGCTCTGGTGGGACTCCTGAACGACCTCTTTGGACGTTTCGACCGTCTCTGCGAGGACACTAAGTGCGAGAAGATCAGCACTTTGGGAGACTGTTACTACTGCGTAGCTGGCTGCCCGGAGCCCCGGGCGGATCACGCTTACTGCTGCATCGAGATGGGCTTAGGCATGATTAAAGCCATAGAGCAGTTTTGCCAAGAGAAGAAAGAAATGGTGAACATGAGAGTCGGGGTTCACACCGGGACAGTCCTGTGTGGCATTTTGGGGATGAGGAGATTCAAGTTTGATGTGTGGTCCAATGATGTCAATTTGGCCAATCTGATGGAGCAGCTCGGGGTGGCTGGAAAAGTCCATATTTCAGAAGCTACTGCGAAATATTTGGATGATCGTTACGAAATGGAGGATGGAAAGGTGATCGAGCGAGTTGGTCAGAGCGTGGTAGCCGACCAGTTAAAAGGTACGTGCTTTTGTTTTGTGCTTACTTTGTTTTTTCCCCCTTTTAGGAAGGAGTATATTTTTCCCTAGTGCATGTTTTGTGCTGGCTGGCTTGCAAATCGAACACGTTTTACATATAACCCTGCGGGCTGGTGATCAGAAACGCCACGGGAATTACGGAATAAAAGAGAGAAGCGTGAAGGACCTTCTGGGGTACTCGAAATGCACTTGGACTTCAGAGCTCCCGAGCGCTCCTTGTGAGAGCGTCGCATGGTAGGGAGGAGAAGGTTAATGTGTTTGCTGTCTGCTGGAGGTTTTTGTTTTGTGTGTCATTCTTTAATTCAGTAAGTAAACTTGGTAATTGACTTCGTGTGCCACACATAGAGCATATGTGTTTTGCAAAATTATGTATATCTGTGAAAAGTGGGGTTTTTTTTGGCATTGGGAGAGTTGGGACTGCGAAGGCATTTGGGAAAAGTGACAGCTGGATTCACAGAAAGAAATGAGCACTGTAGATTTGGCAGTTTGATAGAGCAAGTTGTTACAGTTCGGAGTAAGGCTGGAAAAAGTTACTCAGGTGGTTGAGTGAGCTGGCAGAGGCTCCCGTTTCTGCAGCTCGAAGGATTTGGGGATGAAACTGCAAATTTCTCATGCGGAAAAGAAAATGAGGGATCCTTCGGTTCCCTTTATGGCTTGGCTAAGGGTCCAATTTTCATTTTTCTAGAGAGTATTCATTTTGAAACTCAACCCTTGTCTGCTTTCTAGCAGCACTCGGAAGCGCGTGCGGGAGGATTATACGTGCCGAGGGTTGAATCGTCTCTTTAGGGAAAGCTGGCTCTCCCGTGCTGCGCCTTTGTCTCGCGGAGGTAGGGTTGTCCGCAGTGCTCGTAGCTCAGGGTGGGGAGCAGACGAAGGAAAACGGGAGTGGAGTATGTTGCAAACCCCTTTTATGCTATGTGAGTTTATTCATGGCGGTCATAAATGTACTCATTTTTACAAAGCAAGTGTTGAAAACGGAGTGGAAGAAACTGAAGGAATGACAGGACAGTGTCACGGTGGAGGAAGGAGAGGGATTCGTTGCAACAAATACGAAACAAGGCCAGGATGGTTGTAGGAAGGTCAGTGAGTAAGGACGGGGGGGAGAGGATTGCAAAACAGTGGTGGGAGCAGTAGCAGCAGGCCGCTGGCCTGTGGCAGGTGCCTGTTTTGATGTGACACAAATACTTATTTTTGGTGAGCTAGCTGTCCCCGTGCATATGGCAACAGGGCTGAAACGAGGGGCTTACGGGGAGGAAAAATATCGAGAGTGACACTGGTGGCTGGAAGCCATAGGGCTGAAGCAGATGTGTGTCCCTGGGCTTCGGCTTTCTGTCTAGCTTCTAAAAATACAAATTCAGTTGATTTCTTTAAAAAATGTTGACATTGATGTATTTCGGTGGAAGTGTGCTTTCAAGAGAAAAAGGATCAGATATCATATCTCCCTTACTCTAAGCTGAATCTTGCTGTTCCGGTGAAAATAATAGGTTGTAGATGAACAACGCTGCGGTGGTTAAGTTCTTAATTTCCCTCTTCCAGCATAGAATAGAATAGGTTGTAGATGAAACAACGCTGCGGTGGTTAAGTTCTTAATTTCCCTCTTCCGTCTGCCTCTACAGCCAGCTGCGAGTGTTGTAGCAACAAATGAAATTAAGTATTTTTTGCTAAATTTATGGCTGTGCTCAGTATTAATCGCAAGGTGACATGAGCTTACTTGTGGAGACCGATGGTACCGTGTTTATTTGTTTATGTTTTCTGAGCGATCACAAGAGCACTGTGTAGAGCAATTACACCCCATGCCAGGAGCCTGCTTCTCATGGCTTTTCTCAGCCTCTGTCCTTGGTTGTGTTTGTTGCGAGAGGGCATACGCAGGCTGCTGGGTCTGGGCAGTGCGGTGGTTCGGATTGTGCAGCTTTGAGTGCCTTTCCCCCCGTCCTGCTTTAGCAGGGGCGCTACGGATGGGCATGCTGAAATGCAGTCTAGGTAAGATGAAGTGTGCTTTGTGGACTGACATTTTAATGGTGGTCTTACCTTGAAACCCCGCTATGAAAGCAGCTGGAGCTTTGATAAGAATTACTTAAACAGGGAATGTGTTTTTTTTTTTTCCCCCCTTCCCTTGATGTTTTTTTTTTCCCCCTTCCCTTCTGTGTTTAGTTGTGGAACCGTAATTAGCTTGTGTTTCTTATCAGTGTCTCATGTAGTTGTAGAAATCAGAGTCCGTGTGTACTTTTAAACCAAGCAGACCTCTGCCGTGGCTACCTTGGTCCATAGGTCCGTGCCCAGACCCTCAGTGGCACATGGTGGGTGCTACAGCGTTGCCCATTTTTTCCTGCTTCCTGGGTACCTTGTTCTGCAGTCACATTACTCGGCAGATAGGTAAATGGCATCAGGACAAAAAAAAAGGCGATGCTAAAAGCAATCCAACAGCAGTGCCACAGGCTGGCATCTAGAACCTGCTGCAGGGGAGGGTTTTGGAAAGGAGCAGCTCTGAGATTTAACAGAGTAAACTGAGATTTCACCTCTTAATTAATTGTCCTCTGCCAGGTACCTGGTCAGTTTTGTGAACGGAGGTGCTGTCGCAGCATTGCTTTACTATTTTCCCTGAGAATTCGTTGATAGTAGCGATAGAGAAGAGGAAGTTTCTTGCGGCTGTTCGATTATGTCATATGTCGTACGCCTTTCAAGCATGAAAGTCCTGCGGAGATAACAGGCATGAGCTTTGTCTCCCTGCCCGTACTTCATTTCTCAGCTTCCTTTCAACCTTTGGTATCTTCGTGATACCCTATTTTTTGTGTTGTATGTCTAGTGTATTATCTCTTAATTCTCTGAGCTGCCGCAGTAGCTGTAGCTGTCTTTCTGGGGCTAAGTCAACACGATCACGTCAACTCTTTATAGAGCAAAATCTGAAGTGCCGAGGACTCGGTGTCCACGTTATCCATGTTTTCAGACTTCCACCTAAGATTAGTTCTGGACTGGGTCTTTGAAGAGAAGTACCTCCGTGGTTGGAGCACTTCAGGTGTGCTCCTGGGCAAGCCTTTTGGTTCAGCTCACCCAGAAAGAATCTGGGTACAAGGCCGCATGCACACCAAGGTGGGATACGTAGGAGTGAATTGGGCAAGCTGTTTCGGATCTGCGCTCCCTGTTCCGTTTGAAATATTAATGTAGACGTACCCTGAGTTATCCTAGTGCCGCTCCTTGTTTTATTGTAATAGATGAGGCAAAACTAAATTTTTCTTTCCTCGTGCTGTTTTGTCATTCATTGAAATTTTTCAGCATGGAAGTATCTTTTCTTCCTCCTTTGATGCTTCCTTGGCTCCTTACTGCAAGAAGTGGGGTCCTGCTACATTCCCTTACGGTTCTGACTTCCGAATCATGTAGGTGGTGTTTAAAACAAACCAACAAAGAGCCATTGATGACCTTGCAGTGGTTTTGCCCACTTCTGACTGCCGTTTGGTTTGAGATGGCTTAGGCCATCTGTTTTCGCAGCACCCGATCCCCCAGGGTGTGAGGGGGATGCAGGAGAGCGATGTGCGGTGATTTTTTGGGGGGCTCACAGATAAGCCCTGGACATCAGTTCAGTTATATCTTCCATAATAGTTTTGCCATAGGATCTGAGACAATTCACTTTTTCTGTTTTCTGCTGAGCTTCCTAGCAAATAAATTTATTGCAGGCTGTGAGATACTGCGAGTCACATCATACACGTTAATGTGTCCCCTCTGAACTCTGGAGTTGGAGATCTCAGGATATAAAAAGTTCTGCTTATGGAAATATTTTTGTTTTGCTCTGTTCTCCTGGGTTGCTTGCATTTCTCTTTCTTGTTACTTAGGAGGTCACAATATTGCTGTTTGCCAGCCAGCCAGCAACCCTTCCAGAAATACCAGGGTCACTGGCGTCTGTTTTTCAGTGCTCAAAATACGTAAGCATGTTGGGGCAAGCATGCTTTCTCTGTGTTTATAGAGCATAGCATGGCAGAACCTTGATTTCATTTAGGTCATTTGCATGTTTGCTGATACTCTAATAACAGTCATTGTTAGTGAAGTTCCTGTTAAAATCGTTCCCGAACTTTCTGTGGGAAGACAGCCCTAAGGAATGGCATTACCGCTGAATTGCAGATCACAGCCCTTGAAGGTACAGACACGCTTTTCTCTCTTTGTCGTTTGCTTCAGCACGGAAGAAAGGTAAGGGGTCTGGTGCAGTGTATCACCTGGATAACCGAAGCGCGTCGTCGATGGCTTTAGAGGGAAGGTCAGCTTCCACGGTGCTTACTGCCTGAAAATCCACCAGGTCACCTGTGGCAACTGGTTCCTGATAAAGCATATCAAAGACCTGACGCTTACGGCATTGTCTTTCACTGTTCTCCCCCTTTCTTTTATCTGTGTTACTTTAAAACTTCCTTTTAATACAGCAGCTCAGTTAGAGACTCACAGATTTTCTTGATGTTGAAACCTTTTAATGCAGTTTGGCGCTATTATTTCTCCCTAAATAGCCTGGCTCTTCTCGTGGCGGCACCCTGCGACCGATGGGATGCTTTTCCCTTGGCAGACCGTGGGATCCAGTCCTGCCTGGTGACTTGATACTCCGCTGCTTCTTCAGGTTTGGGTTACAGGGAACAGAGTGCGGGTGTTCCTGAAAGACAAAAGTCTCAGATAAGGTTATGAAGAGAGAAGTCATTGAATTTTAGTTCCCTTCCTTCCCTCTGCGGCCGACCATGATTACGCCCTGACGGCAGTGAAGTCTTCCCTGCCTGCCCCGTCCTTCACCAGACCTGTGCACAGACGTGCTTCTGGCAGTGCATAGGTAGATGAAAGACAAGATGAAAGTTTTCCTTGGCTTTTTGAGCCCAGGCTGCTGGGCTTAGTGTAAATCTAGAAGGCTTGTGCTTGTGCCAGCAGGACAGCTCTGCAGAGACCTCTGCATGGATTCAGCTTTCCTCTGTGGCTCGGCTAAGAGCAGCCTCAGTCTCTAAGCAGCGAGTGTTTTGGGGT